ACTGATATGCTAAAGTTAGTAATCGAAGCAGAACATAAAGAGAAAATAAGCGATTTCGATATTGTACAACATTGCTTTACTTTTTTAATCGGAGGATATGATACTACAGCTTCTAACTTGACCTTCATAGCATTTGCTTTAGCTACTAATCCTGATGTACAAGATAAAGTCATTGAAGAGATTGATCAATATTGTCCTGATGAAGATAATTTAAACTATAACGATATTCAAAAGTTAGACTACTTAGAAATGACGATTAACGAAGCATTTCGTTACTTCTCAGCTGGCTACATTAGCCTACGTGAAGCTAAAAGCGATTGTGTTATTAACGGCGTACAATTTCCAAAAGGTGTCGGTATTGCAATTGCAGTAAAAGCTATCCATGAAGATCCTGATATATGGGAAAATCCTGATAAATTCGATCCTCAGCGATTTTCAGCCGATCAGAAATCTAAACGTCATCCATGTCACTTTTTACCATTTAGTGATGGCCCTCGTAAATGCATAGGCAATAGACTTGGTATAATGAATTTAAAACTAATTTTAGTACGATTACTACAACAAGTCAAGTTCGAAGTAGCTAATCAAACTGAAAATCCTTTACCGACAGTTGTTGTTTTTACAGCTATACCAGAAAATCCAGTAATATTAAAAGTCGTACGAAGAGTGTGATTACTCATATAATCATCGCTTTTAATGTCTGCTTAAGTACTAAACTACTTACTTACATCTAAAAATTGCGATGGATAACAGATATTATAATACTATTTCTTATTGTAATGTAACTTGGTATTGTGATTGTAGACTGTTAGCCATGTTTAGTATAATGTACGGTAGCGTAACTTCTATATTTATCCTAAGATATTTTTGGTAGCCATAACTATAGACTGTAGTGGTATAAACTCTATGCTAGAGTACAGATGACTATATACAGTAAGGTGTTGAGTTACTAATAAGGTTATAGGTAAAAATAGAACTGTAAATCATATATTAGGATATGGCTAATTCATTGTACCTTGGCTGGTGTGAATAATGTCTACGCAAATACTGTAGTCGTATCTATATCGGATTAATGATGGTCCGCAGTAGAATAGTGCTACTAAGAATAATTTAACTATGCATAAAATAAGGTAAAGGTTGCCGTGCGGATTGTAGCTGCGAATGCTACGAAAAGCATAAAAGCATGCAACTTTAGATTATTCTGTTAGTTCGTTCTAGAAGTCTTTTGTAGTAGTATTCGGCTAGAGTAGAGCTGCGTGTAGTTAATCTTTGTATAAGATTCAATAAAGCCCTTATTTTTTCTAATTTTGGAATTTCGTGATCGGTATATATCACACTTATTTAATTAAGATAAGTTATAAATATTGGTCAAGTGTAATTTGTCATGCAGCACATTACCGTTAACTTATAATCTTGTCTACTATTCGCAATTGCTAGAAACGTAAAAATATTTGGTAACTCTACATACCCTTAAATTCGTACTTCTCTTCTCTATCTTGTGAATACATAATATAATTACTAAGTAAGAGGCGTTAACGACGCCATGAGCAAATAGTATAACTTATTATTAAAATAATGAAATATTTGTGTCATAGTATTAGTAGAGTTACTTCGGAAGGCTCAGTCTTAGATGCGCACGTATTTGAACCTCATATGCATATAGAACCTTCTAGAATACTCAGTCTATGTATATTAGTTCGCACTTTATGTCTTGATGAAGTTCTATTTTTTGCTAATACGTTGTCTCTACATTTGCTCCAGAACTTATTACAGTTTGAATACCGTCAAGACTTACTGTTCTTAGGGGTCCGATTTCTGTTCTACACGAAAAGTAGATAACGAAATATAATCTCGTTCATATTCTAGAATATTTTATGTTGTCGAACTGTTAAACAATATCTACTTATATAGATGGGTAATTAAACCGCCATCTGGGCATAAAGGGTTAATCGTCAGAACCTAAAGTACATCGTTATACTATGTGACCAGTTAATATATACGAGTATATAATTACAAGCTGCTTACTCTTATGAACAATTCTTCAATCAAGATTTAGATTTGTACTACATTATGAATCTTTATTACAATTATTACAGTTTAAACTCGAGGTAGTGATTAAATGATTCGTTCTAAGTTCTAACGTCATAAATCTTTCTTTGCTAATTATCTTAGGGATTACTTTTATAGTAACTTGTGATTACGCTATTACCGATTCCACAGGCTGTGATGACCCTGATGACCCTGATGACCCTGATGACCCTAGGTGGGACCTTTACGAATAATGCCTAGCAACCATGTCAGCATTGTTACTACAATTCATTAGGCATTGAAAGAATTAATCCGGTTGCAAACCTGTAATTTACCGATTATGATTATAAAATACAGCAAATACACATCGACGTAGGCTCATCAAGATGGATATTACCTTAATCATTCTATCCTCGACTTTTGCCGTTTTACTTTTTACTTATATTTTCTATTTCTACTATCTCAAACCTTACTCCTACTTTGATAAGATTAATATACCTGGTCCTAAACCCAAGTTTATCGTCGGTAATTTATGGGATACCGTTTATGTTCGCAGGCATCTATGTTTAACTGACCATGTTAAAAAGTATGGAAAGATTTTTGGATTATACTACGGTCGAAAACCGATAATCCACGTAGCCGATCCTGATATTGCTTATGAAATTCTAGTTAAACAATCCGAAAATTTTATTAACAGAATCGATTTAGTACCAACTTCGAATAGGCCCGTAGGCTTAATTGATGCTCGCGACGTGACTTGGAAGCATGCTCGTGAAAGTCTAACTCCGCTTTTCTCTCCGAATAAGTTAAAAGCCATGTCTCACTTCGCTAATGAAGCTAGTAACAATTTGTTAGAGAAAGTTTTACACAAAATCGATAACGACGATGATACTATAAACGTGAGGGAACTATTTTATAGTACCGCCATGGATATGTCATTATCATCGCTATTTGGTGTTAAACCTAACGAAGAAAAGAAAATCGAATTACAAACTCACATCAATAACTTCATGGGTGGGCTTAAAAAGCCAATTGCAGCGTTATTTATTGCATTACCAAAGGCTTCCAGACCACTTCGCGTTCTTTTTAACTATAAACAAGTCAAAGCCATCGTAAAATTAGCCACTATGTTAAGGAAAATTGTCACAACTCGTCGTAGAGAATTAGATCAAGGTTTATCTACTAGAACTGATATGCTAAAGTTAGTAATCGAAGCAGAACATAAAGAGAAAATAAGCGATTTCGATATTGTACAACATTGTCTTACTTTTTTAATCGGAGGATATGATACTACAGCTTCTAGCTTAACCTTCATAGCATTTGCTTTAGCTACTAATCCTGATGTACAAGATAAAGTCATTGAAGAGATTGATCAATATTGTCCTGATGAAGATAATTTAAACTATAACGATATTCAAAAGTTAGACTACTTAGAAATGACGATTAACGAAGCATTTCGTTACTTCTCAGCTGGATACATTAACTTACGTGAAGCTAAAAGCGATTGTGTTATTAACGGCGTACAATTTCCAAAAGGTGTCGGTATTGCAATTGCAGTAAAAGCTATCCATGAAGATCCTGATATATGGGAAAATCCTGATAAATTCGATCCTCAGCGATTTTCAGCCGATCAGAAATCTAAACGTCATCCATGTCACTTTTTACCATTTAGTGATGGCCCTCGTAAATGCATAGGCAATAGACTTGGAATGATGAATTTAAAACTAATTTTAGTACGATT